AAAAAAAAAAAAAAAAAAGGGAGGGCACCTGTTAGCAGAAGGGACCGGCTCAGTGCGAAGTACACAGCTGTGGGGCAAGAAGAGGCCTTGGGGCCCTGGGCAGGACGGCAGCCGGGGCCCCTGGCCGCTCCTCACCTCTAGCTCACTCTGCTGCTGGAAGCCCTGCAGTTTTTTTAACTCCACATTCAGCTTTTTCATCCTCTCCTCGTAAGCAGTGACTTCCTCTTCCAGCTGAATCTTCCTGTGTTGGGCCTGTGTCAGACTTCGGTGAAGACTCTTTGTCTCTGAGGTCAAATGATTGAGCTTTGGTAAAGACAAAGGGTTGGGGGGAGAACGGCTGTCATTGCGCTTGGGCCTCTCTGCTGAGTCCTGAATGGAGAAGGGTTCCACCAGTCCCACAGCCCCTACTCTCTTCTGCCCAGGGTGGCACAGACACACCTGGTCCTGGTCACCTCGCCTAGAGTCCCAGAGAGGGGTGAGAAGTGACAACGGTCAGTCTTCTGCATCTCCCCTGCCCCTCTCCCATTTCCTCTCTTTCCAATTCTATGAGCTCATCAGCCAGGCATGATTAGCACAGGGATGGGGCATGAATTTCCCTGAAAAATCCAGGTCTTGGGAAAACCTTGCCCCTGGGTCACCCATGGGCAGGAAGACTTGTTAGATTTGGCCTCTATCCCCCTCTTCCCCAAAGCCTCACTAAGGAGAAGCAGGCCTTCTCTGGACAGACATCCCAGCCAATGCTAGGGTTTGCAGATGGCCTTGGTGACAGCCAGTTATGCAGGAAATCGACTCCTTCACCTTTCATGCTGCTGGGATAACTTGGATATTAAACAGCCCTGGAGATGAGATGGTGTAGCCCACCTTATCCAGGGCCTGTGTTAGGTCGTCTTGGCAGGAGGCTGACTTCTGGCATACCTCCTCATAGACTTCTTTACTGACCGTGGTCTGGAGGTATTGCTGCTCTTTTGCCACAGCCTTGTCCAGCTGAATCTGCAGACTCACCATGGTCTCCTTCTGAAGGGTTATCTTTAGGGAGGGAGAACATCACTGTCAAGGTTCATGGCCGTGGAGGCATCCTCTGCGTCCACAGAAGATGGACAGGCACAGACAGGGCTCTCTCCTCCCTGCACTAACTACCTGCCCAGCAGCCTGTGATAACGCCCACTTCCCCTCACTGTTGGAAGAGGAAGAGCTGCCTTTCCAGGTTCTTCTGCACCCCTCTCCCACACTTCCTTTCTAGATAGCATGTCTTCCCAATACAAGGAGTACTGGAAGTACTGGGCCATGATGTGTCAAATACACGAAAAGTCCCTTTCACAGACTCTGCAGCCTTTGACGTGTGCCAGCCAAGCATGGGTCCGACATTTGTAACTGGATGGTTTCTGTTAATAGTTAACTGTCTCATGGTTAGGGTTAGGGTTAGGATTAGTGTTAACCTGGAATCCAATTCTAGGTTAGGAAATATGATGCAACATTTCAGTGGTATGCATTATGCCTCAACTCCTGACATAATCCACTAGACTTGATGCATCATGAAAGCAGGACTGTATGTGCTTTCTTCATTGCTGTATCCCCACTACCTGTAGCTCAGAGCATGGCATACAATAGGTGCTCACAAAATATACTAAATGATTTATTTGGACTGAATGAAATAGTGCATTGGGCAATACTAGGGATGAATTGGACATATAGTGCTGACAGAGTGTGTTTAAAATTGAAATATGGACTACTGATGAAAGGAAATGCAGTTTAGAATGCAAAACTAAGCCTCTTTCTAATGGCTGTTTCCATTGATTCAAAAAGCCTGTTATATGTGGGGCACGCTTTTAAAAAATTGAACATGCTCACCCACACATAAACTCCTCCAGTCTCTGGATTCCCGTCAAAGGAATTCTGAAATTAGTGCTTCTAGTTGCACATTTACATAACTCCCTTTCTTTTGGCAAATGTGATAACAGGCCTATATTAAATACTTAGGCAGTATTCCTTATATTGAAAGCAGTTCCTTGGGGATTTGAGTGATTCAGGCCTCAACTCTGGATCACACTAGAGGAGAGATTTATATCTCTGAGTGACGAAACTCCAGAAACATCAGTGCCTCAGACCTCTGCTGTTTAATATGGCAGCCACTAGCCACATGAGACTATTTACATTTCAATAAAACTAAAATTAAACTTATAAATTCAGTTCCTTAGTCATACTAAGCCATATTTCGAGTACTCAATAGCCATATGTGGCTAGTGCATATAGTATAAGGTAACTCTAATTTAGAACTTTTCCATCATCACAGAGAGTTCTATAGCATAGTGCTATTCTTACATTTAGAATGGTCCTAGTATTTTAAGATGAACTCTCTATTAGGAAGGAATCAGAGCTGCTTGGTCTCTCATTTATAATTCAAGAGACTACCTAATCAAGATGCTGTATTTTTTTCTTGTCCAGAAATATGGAATGGATTCATCTGGGGCAAGTATTGCCATTCAGGATGAAGGGAAAAGAGGTTAGGTGGAAGAGCCAGATGATTCAGGTTCAAATATTGCTCCATCCCATCACTTACCAATTAGTCAGTCTGAGCCTCAGCTTTTCTCTCCTCTGTAAACCAGCAGATGGAAGGCATGCCAAGGACTTAAGTAGACAGTCAATAAACGGTGACTGAATGTGAGCACAGTGCCTCACATACATTAGATGCCATCTACTCCTTTTGTCTTTATTCGTGTAATGAAATATAACCATGTCCCCTTTCATCCCATTTTTGTGCTTTGGGACTATTTTTGGAAGTGTTCCCTAGCAAATTGCCCCAAACAATGGGCTCACTCAACACTGGTCTAAAATGCAACTCTGGAAGACTTGATGCCAAAGCCCAGATGGTTTGGGGCTCCACCAGATATTAAATAAGACCTTCTACATGTGGAAGAAATACTTCTCGGCCAGCAAGTGGGTGATACTTCAGGAGGGAAGTGGGGGCTCCGGTGCCCCAGAATGCACATGGGCTGGGCAGTTAGTGGCATTTCTGTGATGGAGGAGAGCTAGGTGCCAACTTCAGGTCAAGGGTCACAGGGTTCAAATTTCTCACCCCCTTGGGGTTTCTGTCTACGCACCTTACGAGTCAGCTCCTGGTTGATTTGCTGGGTGCTGTTTTGTTTGCAGAGAGAGGAATCCAGTTGCGCAGAACATTGCTTTAACTGTGATCTGAGATTATCATTTTCCTCCTGCAACTTTCTCAAATTCTCCTTTGACTGCTCCCCGATTAAGGAAACAAAGCCCAGACGGAGGTGTAATCTCAGACTCCTGCAGAAGCCCCTCCTTCTGCCCTCACGCACAGCTCCACTTTGCACCCCATGTATCTCAGGCCTTCTCTCCCCTCCTCACTTGTCTTTCTTACCCTCCCTCCCTTCCCTCCTGAAGTCTGAGCACCCTCAGCCTCTGTATCCCACCAGGCACAGCTGGGCTCAGGTCTGGCCCTGGATTCTTAATCCTGAAGTTTCCCAGATTCTCCTCACCATCTTTTCTTTCTTTTTTTCTTCCTGTCGGAATATCTCGAGCTCTTGCTCCAGTAGCTTCTCCTGCTCTTTACTCTTTTTCAACTGCTCCCGTTTCTCCTCCAGCAACCTGGTTTCCTCCTGAAGCTGTTCTTCTAGACTGCATTTGGAGGAGGCTTGCTTCCTGTTCTGAGAAGACAAACATGGGGCTGAAAGGCACCATATTTTTAGGGAGAAAAACCCCAGCCCAGACAACTGTGCACAGGGATGGCTGAAATAAATATGAGGACAGGGCTCCCCTGGTGGCGCAGTGGTTGAGAGTCCGCCTGCCGATGCAGGGGACACGGGTTCGTGCCCCGGTCTGGGAAGATCCCATATGCCTTGGAGCGGCTAGGCCCGTGAGCCATGGCCGCTGAGCCTGCCCGTCCGGAGCCTGTGCTCTGCAAC